ACATATTCTCACTGAATTCTAGTCTGACTCCAACTCAATTTTAGCATTAAGCATGTACAAAAGATAGAATGGAACAAGCAACAATAAGGCTAGGAGAACTGACACCCCAAAACCAAAACAGCAGGCCACTTAAAGTAGCTTGAGGGCAAGAGAAACACAGCAAGCTTCTGTTTAATTAATTATAGTGTTCAAATCCAACAGTTTAGTGAGCAAAGAGCACTGCAGCAGTAGCCTCCTTCCAGCAGTGTATTCTAAGCTAGGTTGAGGACATGCTATGTTTTGAATGGTTAAGTTAGAACCCTAGCCAAGTGCATAGGGCAGAAGTTCAGTTACTATGGCAAACGGTAGAGCAAGAGCTGTGATTCAAAAGACCTAAGAGTGTCCAGGTGAAACCTAGGCACATCAGATATGGGACTAAAATTCCGATTCCACCTAAAGAGTAGATTAACTTGGCAGCAGGTCTTCTTGAGGCTACACATTTCAAACATTACTATCTACACGGGTGAAAAAATTGGGGGTAGGCATTCTTTATATAATGGCAGCTGGGTTCCTTCTCAAGTAATCCAGATAAGTGCATATAATGTCCTAACTTGGGAGATCTATTTTCATATATCCTTAAATGTAGGCTAAGTATTGCTAATCAGATGGAGAAGCAGACCTTTTACTATAAAGTGCCTGGATATGAGTGATCCTTGTTTGAATGCATCACTCTTTTTACCAAAGCCAACATAAAATCAATTTAGGAACCAACATCTGGCTTAGTAGTTGTCATTTAGGATGTCTACATTCCATCTCAGAGTACCTCCAATTCTGTTCAGCTTTCCAATAATGCACACCTTGGGAGATGACAGCTCAAGTACCCGGGTCCTTGCCCCTGATATGGGAGACCTGGATTGAGTTCTGGGCTCTTGTCTTTGACCTGACCCAGCCCTAAATGTTTGGAGCATTTGGGAACTGAACCAGTGATGTAAGATTTCTCCCTCTGCCTCTGTCTCTCCCTCTCCCTCTCCCTTCCCCTCTCCCTCTCCCTTTCCCTCTCCTCCTTCCCCTCCCCCTCCTCTCCCTCTTCCCCTCCCTCTCTTCTACACACACACACACACACACTCTCTCTCTCTCCCTGCCCCGCCCCGCACCTTTCAAATTAATGAAGTTTTTTTTTTAAAAACCTAGACTATGATATAAGACCCTTTCTAATTCTGACTGATGATTTTAAATTTAAATAAGTTAAAACTTCTATTAACAATTTCAAAGATATCCTCAGAAATCAATATTTTACCTCAGAAACTAGTGTAAACACCAAAAATCACATTTCAAAAATTCAATATTGGGATTTATATCCAGCAGAATTTCATAGGATCTCAGACTGTTCACTAGCTTGGGAATTGTTTATAGAAAAAGACTTACAAGGGAGATAAGTAATCAATAAAAGAGATTATGAGAGGATTCCATTAGTAGGAAGAGGCAAGCTATTGTTTTTGTCCTTTCTAAAGAAAGCAAAGCAAACAATGAATCAAATGTCATACAGTTTTTCTACCCCACCTCTTGCTCTCCTTGAATTTTTATAGTTACCTGTAGGAAATCAAATGCACACACAATTGACCACTAACAGGGGGAAATAACATAAGAATGATATTCCCAAAGAAAGTGTCACTGATGTAGATGTTACAGATGTAGCTTGAGACAATATTGTTGTTTTCTATTTATTATTTTAATAAATGGAAATTCTAGCAAACACACACAGTACAAGCACAAACACCTCTAATAGTGTTATTTAAAAGAAACAAAAAAGCAACAATTAATGCCTAAGTATTATCAAAGGTGGTTCATATCATCTCTCATCACCTATAAAGCACCTAAAAAAGATCTTTTAAATGACTTCATGGTTTCATAAATGAATTTTATATTTGAAAATTTCCAATATTAACTATTCATTAGATAAACTAACATATTTGCTCACATATTTTAAAGTGATAGAGATTGAATTTGATGAAAATCTTTTCCTGGGTTTCTTTTTCTTTTCTTTTCTTTCTTTATTTTAAAGTCAGAGTTACAGAGAAAGAGAAGAAGAGACAGAAATCTTTCTCTTTTTTAAGATTTCTTTTACTATTTATTTGAGGGTAGAGTTACAGCAGAGAGGGGGAGAGAGAGAGAAAGGTCCTCCATCCACTGGTTCACTCCCCAAATGGCTGCAACGGCTGAGCTGGACCACTCTGAAGCCAGGAGCCAGGAGCTTCTTCTGGGTCTCCCACACAGGTACAGGGGCCCAAGCATCTGGACCATCTTCTTCTGCTTTCCCAGACTATAACAGAGATCTGGATCCAAAGAGGAGCAGCCGGGACCAGAACTGGCACCCAAAGGGGATGCCAGCACTGTAGGCATAGGCTTAGCCTACTACACCACAGCAATGGTCCCAAGAGGGGAAGAGAGGGAGATAGGGAGAGGTTGGGGCGGAGGGAGGAGAGAGGTTGACGGGTAAGAGAGAGAGAGACATACATATCTTCCATCTGCTGATTCACTCCTCAAATGGCCACAAAGGCCAGGGGTGAGCGACACTGAAGCCAGGTGCTAAGAGCCAGGAACTTCTTCCTGGTCTCCCATGTGGTTGCAGGAGCCCAAGGGCTTGGGCCATTTTCCACTGCTTTCCCAGCCACATTAGTAGAGAGTTGGATGGGAAGTGGAGCAGCCAGGACTTGAATCAATGCCCACATGGTATGCCAGCACTACAGATGGCTGCTTAACCCACTACACCACAACGCTGGCCCTCCTGGGTTTTTATAACAAAGAAATGCTACAAAACCCAGAATTTTACTTGTGGAAGAAGAAGATGGGAGAATAACAATTAAGTTTTCCCTAAAAATTCTTTCACTTTTATGATAAGCAATTTAATCCCACAAAACCCTTAATTTTAGTAGCTTCATTGTGACCCAGCTCCAGCTCCAGCTCCAGTGCCAGTTCTTTACTCCAGCTTCTCACTAATGCTAACCCTAGGAGACAGCAGTGATGGGCTGAGTTCCCAGTTCCAGGCTTTAGCCCTGGCCTTTGTGGGTATTGGAGAGTGAACCAATAATTGAGAGCACTCCCCTACTCTCTCTTTCTTCCTCTCAAAATATTTTTAAACATAAAATAATATAGAATCTAATTATTTCTCTACTCTTCCATCAACTAATGAACATAATAATCTTGCTTGAGGTACATTTCTGTTTAAAGGTACCTTATTTAACACACATTGTTAATTCATTAACATTGAATTCAAGACCAACATTACTGTAATTCATGTCTAAACAAAGCTTATCTAACACAAATATTTCCTTCATAAAGCACATCATAGCCTCCATGGGCTTAACAACACTATAGAGCATTCGAGCACTATTTTCGGGGCCATTTTAAACAATAAAATCATCATCAAAAAAGCACCAAAATACAAAATATGTCACTAAATACACCATGAAAGGGACATATGTTTAGAATGTGAAAACTAAAACAAGAAGATAGAGCATGGGTTTATTCAAATGGAAAGTACTCACAAAGCAACTCAAATTTTTCACCACTGTGCATGTCAGTGAATAATTTAAAAAATCCTGAGTATATTGATTTTGTGCTTATAAATAAATTTTAGCAAGAGCATGAATTTGCAAACACACATTTGTTAATAATGAATATAAAATATATACATGGTCACCAAAATAGTAAGCCATCTCATTGGTCTATGTATAACATTAAGGCTTTTAGTGTGCTAATACCTACTATGATAAGTCCCTGCCTTTTTGGTTTTTTTTATTTTTTTATTATTTAATTTATTTGAGGGACAGAGAACCCAACAAAGATCCCATCCACTGGTTCATTCCCCAAATTTCAGAGTGAAGCCAGAACTGAAACCCAAAATCTCTAATATGGGATGTGGGCATCGAAATCAATGTCCTAACTGCTAGGCCAAACATCTGCCACCCTTTTGCCTTTCTTTAAAGCTGACTTGTCTATTACTGTATCTTTCTTATTTTATATACATTTTAATGTTTACTGAATTTCTCAAAAAATTCAACTAAAATTTTAATTGGAATTATAATTAATTTATATACTACTTAAGGAAAAAACAAGGTATTTTTAGTAAGTTGTCCCATCCAATATGGGCTGTCCTTCTGTTACTGGTGAATGGCAGGGTTCTTGTCTTCGTGCAAGGAAGAATTCAGGCGTGAGACAGAGAGTAGTGGAAAGTAAAATAGCAAAGTTTATTAGGGTAGGGACATCCATAAGAACGGATGGGCACCTCTCCAGACAGAACCTGAGAGAGAGTGCCCAGTCACTCAGACTTGGGGGAAGAGCGAGGTTACATGGTTGAGTGGAGAGATTACATGTGGGCAGGCTGAGCGCACTATCCGGTTGAGGTGCAGGGCGGGGGGGGGGGGGGGGTTAAGGAGATGGGTCTTTGTCTTAACACATCTCCTCCTGAAACAAAAGACTTTATGGATGTAAATACTAAAAAACTCCTGAGTTTTCCCCTTGAAGGTATCAGACAGGAGGAATCCTGGTTGGCGCCACCCTGAGGTAGAGGAAGGGTAAGCAAGACCCCTTGGGGGATCAGGATCCAAGCAGGGTATTTGAAATGCAGATATTGGGCTGCATCTGGAAGATTATCAGGCAGAAGGGGCAGGACCCCCACCTGGCAGGTTATCAGGTAGAAGGGGCAGGGCAGGATGCAAATACTGGGCTGCCCCTGAAACGTTATCGGGATGACTTTGAGATGCATATGCTGTACATAGACATCTTCTCTTTAGGCCTTTGTCACACACACACGTAAGCTCATATCTGACTTCCTACCTAACACTTCTATTTATTGTTAATCTTTTCTTACAGTTTCAAAGCTTCTGCCATTAACATTTTGCATATGCCTAAATACTTTAGGGGCTATTGTTACACTATCAATGGAATTTTTTTAATATTCTTTAGTTGGCTATTGTTAGGGTCCGAAAAAGCCCACTGCCCAAGGAACGACTCCAAGAGACTTTCTCTCATGCAACCAGCAAAGGGTTAAAGATTTATTGATCCAACATGTTGGGGCTCTCTGAACACACAAGAACAGAGGAGCAGCGAGGAACTACAGCATAGGGTTTATAAAGGCAAAAGCCGCAAAATCGGGAAGGGGGAGAGAATACACGGTTGCTAAGCGGTTGCTAAAATCTTACAATCAGCAATTATGATCTTAAGACATAGACAAATCACATCTTCATTATTAGCCCAGGTAACCCAGGTGTAACCTTTCTACTTTTAAGCTTGAGCAATCATGCTAGGAGGGTTTTGTGCTCTGCCAAGGGTGATGTAGTGCACTGCTATTGTCCGACTATTTGAGATCACAGTTTCAGACCAGAGTCTCACGGTGGGGGGGGTTGCTTTCCCAGAATGGAGTCTCAAGTGTCCCAAAATGGAGTCCCTACTATCAAGGGGCTACTTCATTCCCCACTTCCTGTTGGCACAATTTCTAATCCTAGAGATTATCAGTTTCAGCATTCTTGAGAGTGGCATACTGCTGTCGAATTATCATAAGTTTAATGTTGCCAATTTGTTCCCTAAAAAAGGTTACAAGTCTATTTAAAATGCAAGGTCCAATGGTAACAATTAGGAGCAGAATGACCAGGGGACCTGCTAGTGAGGAGAGTAGCATAGTCAGCCAGGGAGATTTGGTAAACCACGACTCAAACCATCCTTGTTGCTGAGTTCTTTCCCACTGTCTTTTTTAAGGCGTTTTCTGAGCTTGGCCATACTATTACATATTACCCCAGTTTTATTTGCATAGAAATAATATATATTTTTTTAATGTTGCACATAATTTTTTTATGAAAATGAGATTTAACCCCCGCCTGTTCTGCAATACTGAAATGCAGATACTGGGCTGTATCTGGGAGATTGTGGAAGATTTGTCAGGCAGAAGGGGTGGGGATCTCTACCTGGCAGGTTATCAGGTAGAAGGGGGCAGGGCAGGATGTAAAGGCCAGGCTGTCCGTGAAACATTGTCAGGATGACTGAGATTCAGATGCATATGCTGGACACATTAGGCCTTTATGTCACACACACATAAGCTCATAACTGACTTTCTGCCTAACAATTTTTTCTTAAGAGGTAATACCCAAAATTCTTCTTTGGGATTATGGATGCAGTTCCATTTTCTGTAACTTCTTCAAAGCTGGCATGTGGGCATCGAGGGGGATTTGGGTATTTCCTCTTGCTACCTGTCTTATGGTGTGCAACAGTGGCCTTGGAAAGACTGTGCTGCTCGGTCCAGAGGGCTGCTCAGGTCGTCCAGTGGAATGGGCTGGAAGTCTTGCCTGATGACCATTTGGAGTTCAACAGCTTTTAGTCTGTTAGAGACAAAATGAACAAGGGCATTAAAAACACACGGTGCAAAGAGAAGCATCAAGATTGCAGAAGCTAGTGGGCCAAGGAGAGGAAATAGCCAGGATTTTTATGATCAGATGTTAGGCCAGAAATCCCAGCCCTGCTTGGCCTGGTCCTGGAGCTGTTTGGCTTTTTCCAGGAAAAGTACAAATTTGGGTTTGTGTCTGTCCAGTCTGATTGACCCAGAGACAATTTTTTTTTTTTTCGGATATCTAGTAGCCAGTTTTGCTAGGAGGTTAAGCCAACGTACAAGACTAGAGTCTCAGGCTGGGAAAGAAGACATACTAATGAATTATTTACATTTAACTATTTATATTATTGATTATTGTGCACCCCCCTCAAGAAATAGGCCCTTTAAGTCTCCAGTGAGGACCTGTCCAAATAGGTGTAGGGCTATCTGAGTTAGCTGTTACTGAAAGCCCTGTTTTTAGGAACTGGCAGGGAGGGCTTTCTAAGCTTAATGTTATTGGATAGACTTTTAAGGCCTGGCTGGGTGTGTGAGGCCCAGACCTATCCATGGGGTGCTGGAAGAGAATTGAAAGAGATGCAAATCTCCTTTAAGGGAGGCACCCTGTTGACTTGCATTACATGGCTGGACTAGGAGGAGAGCTGAACAGGAGGCTGATAGAAATAGGCAACTTGCGTTTCACTGACCCTAGGCCATCCCCTCAATAGCAGTGGCTAGGGCTGGAAGCTGGGAAGAGGCTGGGCAGAGCCAAAGGCTTTTTAGCTCAGGGCCACAGGGTCTGTGGTTCTGAACCAGGAGTCCTTCGACACCCAGGACAGTTCCATGTCCAGTGACCATGCTCTTGGCAGAGCTGACAGAAGGCATTTGCTGTCACAACAGCTGCTTGCCCAATGCCCTGGCTCCTTGTATCAGCAACAGGTGCCATTTGGGGTGCATTGGCCTTGCTGGGTCTCCTTGACGGCAGATCACCGTGTAAAGCAGCCATTGATTGGCCTGTTGCCCATCCCTACATTGCTCCTGCTGCTAGCTTGCTCCTCATTTCCCTGGTCTCTAATAAAGTGGACCATGGAGGCAGCCTCTATGATGCCAGTCAAGGGGGCGCCCAACCCAACCCTGATTTTTGGAGATTTTTTTAATATCAGGGTGAGCTAGAAAAATTATGGTCATGGGCAAATTCTGACACTTAGTATTTTCCTGCGAGTTAAGACCGTGCCCATGAGGAGAACTATGACCCTTTAGGTAAGATCAACTGTGGTGACCTGCTTGCATACTTTGAGGTCGTCAGTGTAACTTTTTACACCGAAAAATTGATCTAGTTGTCACATTATTTTATATTTTAACCTCTTTTTTTTTATGTTGTTTGGGGCCCTATACTGTGGCCAGGCATTATTACAGAAAAGGTCAGTCATCCCTTACAGAAGGTCTGGGGATCAAACCGTACGTCACAGTGGAGAGTCCTGCAGAACAGTAGTAACTTCCCTTCTGGAAGAAAAAAGAGGAGAAGTTAGGCAGCAAGTTGGGTCTCTAGCCTGACTTTCTGGGCTTTTAGATTTAACTGGCAGTTTAACCAGTGTTTACTGTGTAGCCTGACTTAGAGGCTTAGAGGAGAAATTGTGGCAGAGGTCTCTGCCATTCTTTGGCTTCTGGGTATTTACCGTGTAACCTGTGGACACTAGAGCTTTTTTGGTTTTCTGGAACCCAGTTTTCTAGCATCTGCCGCATAACCATAACTTAACAGAGACAGCAGAGTACACAATGGATTAACATGAATTTTATGTCTCTTGTTGTCGAATAAACCAGAAATAAAAAAAGAAACTTGTATATAAGAGTTTACATAATTTAGAATTATTTAACAGAGTCAAAAAGAGCTTACAGGACCTAACTCTAGAAATGGCAGAGTAATCGATTAAGCAGACACTGTTAAAATAGACGTTACAGTTTTTGCAAAAACAGATTCCAAGATTTATGATTTAGACCATTTTTAGATATTTACTAACATTAGTACACATTTAAAAAAAAAAAACCATTGTTATAACAGAAGATCAGACTTTAACTTTAGGTCAGTGTAATTTTGGCATTAGCACTCAACTCTGTAAACAATATTTTAAAATTGTAAACATTTTAAAACTTTTTATGACTTGTTTACACCTTTTGAAACTTTATACCTGTAGTTACTTTTACATAGCCTTGAATTGTCATGTATGGACAACCTATGAGAATACATGTTAACAAACTCAAACAGTTTTTTTTTTATTGAATTTGAGATGTTAAAAGTATATATAATATATTTTCCCAAGTTTTACTTAGCACTGATGCCTAGATGACTTATGACACTGAGTTATTAATGAATACCACACCATTATCTGAAATAAAAGTTAAAATTACATTTTTATGTTTTTAAGTAACATGAGGATAACACCTCCTGGACAGCAAACACTAGTGCATGTTTACAACTTTGAAAAGATCTTGGTCATTAAGAGAAACAAGTTTAAAGCATATCAAAGACATGTAAAACTGAGCAAGCAAGCCACTGAGCAAACTGAAGGGCGTTTGCATTACCTCAATTCTCTGAACCAATCTGCATTGGCTTACTTTAGTTAACAACATAAAGGCTTGTATACACAGAATTTACTCTTATTTTTATAAGAGCACTTTAGCTGGAAAGCAAAAACATAAATACAGCATAGATCTGACACCATTTATAACATTTTAATATATTTTATATAATCTGAATTGACCCAAGCAGCTGTTACTTTAACAAATTTAGAGTCTCATCCTTTGAGAGTTCCAGGGATCTGACTGGAAGCCCAAAGTTGGAAGACTCGGTTTAGAATTTAAGCTGTCAGAGAGTCAAACCATTTAGCCAAAATTAGTACATTTCTGATCAGTTGGGTAATCACTCAGACATTAAAAACAGATAAACAATGTAAACAACTTCGCATTGTAGTTTTCCCAATCAAGACTCTAATGGCAATAGAAAAATGCGAAACCTTCAAGACAGGTGAACGCTCTCAGATGAGTCAGGGACAGCAGCACAGAAAAGAGCTGATTATCAGCATATGAATCCATTGTTTAGGTTTTCATTAGCTGCAAAGAGAAAAACCCATCAGGTTGGAAAGGGTTAATGGCTTAAGGTTCCCTTAGGTAAGGCCAGCAGTAGTATTGAATTGGAAATTCCTCCAGGAAAGGAGAAAAAAAAGCAGCCCTGGGGTGGGGGCTCTGCCTAGAGATATTTGGCTATGCCTGCCTGGGTGCTGCAGGCCACATGGACTAGAATAGAGTGCAGAGAAAGGCAGTGGTCCCCCATTTACAGGGAAGACTGCGCACACCGGGGCCTGGCAGGACTAGCCGTGGGGTTGGGTAGGTGCGCCGTTTCACCAAGAGTGTTGGGAACCTTCTATAATTTAACCAAAGCCAGATTAATTAGGACTACTGCAGACACTCAGTCAATTACAACAGATAGTTAACTTTAGTTCTTTTCCAGATTTAGTCCTCAGGCAATCAAAGCTTAGCAACAGTAATAGTTCACAAAAAACTTTAAGACGCACCAGAGCTACCATAAGCTGCAAAGACAGAAAACTTTCTACCAGGTTGGAAAGGGTTAACGGGTAACAGGTAACAGCTTTTCCCTAGGTGGAGAGACTTGTGGAACTTCCCTCTCCCTTTCTCCTGGCCAGTGGTATAGGAATGGATGGAGATGAGGAGAGCAAAAGAGTGGGGGAGGGAGCCCCAGGGAGGAGGAGGAGGAAGGCAGAAAGCAATGAAGCTCCTCATGTCTGGGGGCTGAGTGGGGTTTGAAATCTCCTATCGCTCAAGGTTACCCACTACCTAGTTGTCTGAGTTTACCTGAAGGGCCAATATTAGCCTCGACCGAAGCTAAGCCCTGCTCGCGTAGCAGTAGGCAGCGTGACCAGGCGTCCCTCCAAGAGAGAGACCTGGTCCTCGGGTCGCAGTCCGGCTGCTGGGAAGCCGGCTGCTGGGAAGCCGAAGCGAGCTCAGGGGGTCTCCAGGCTCTCAGCCAACTGCCCTTCCTAATTTCCCTCCCGTTCCTTACAATCCCTCTGGAGTTTCGGCCATAGCTAAGCCGTGGCCTGGGGGACTCCACGTTCTCGGAGAGCTGTAGGGTGCCAGACACTCAACGGTCACTTCCACAGATCCGGTCCCGCTTGAGGGAAGGAATACTGAGTATTTGACTCTTCTCAAAATCCCGGTCCAGGTGCCCATGACGGCCAGGCTGCAGAACGGCCTCTTTCACTCAGTGAATGAGTGGTAAATGGAATGAGCCCTCCACTCCTAGAGCAGGCCATTTAGAGGCACAGAAAGACTGCCACTTTACCTTCTTGACTGACAAAGAAAGGTTATGCGCCTAGTGGCTTACCTCCGACCAATGATTCAAAGTTAGAGACAAAGGTGTAGACACAGTCTGGCCCATGTTAGCGAACAACACAATGTACACAAACAGACAAACAGCATAGAGAAGCAGCACACAACGACCACACAAAGTGTCTACCAAACGGGAACCCTCAAGGCGTCCCATACAAATGCTAAATGACAAGAGAATAAAATCAACAAACAACAAGACAGCCAACAAAGCACCTTAACAAATAAAAAAGACTAACGGGCATTACAAACAAAATGTGAGTCTCTGCAATCTATTCTCCTACTGCAGGCAACCCACCAAACAGGAAACACTGGGCGTCCCCAGTTTTCCCTTTCTCCCAGGGTGTCCCCCGGGATGTGGTCTGTGGCTCTGGAGCACGTCTGCCCGCCACAGTTGGGTGGAGTTCTCGCTCGAGCCTGACAACCACGATGCCGATTACAAACAAATAACTAACCTCACCAAACAACAATCAAAGTGTACACGTTCAATCAAAACAATAGGCGCCTTACTCACCCCAAGAGATATCCGTTGGAGGCGTCCACAGGCAGCAGTCAGATCTCAGTGGAACCTCCAAATGTTAGGGTCCGAAAAAGCCCACTGCCCAAGGAATGACTCCAAGAGACTTTCTCTCATGCAACCAGCAAAGGGTTAAAGATTTATTGATCCAACATGTTGGGGCTCTCTGAACACACAAGAACAGAGGAGCAGCGAGGAACTACAGCATAGGGTTTATAAAGGCAAAAACCGCAAAATCGGGAGGGGGGAGAGAATACACGGTTGTTAAGCGGTTGCTAAAATCTTACAATCAGCAATTATGATCTTAAGACATAGACAAATCACATCTTCATTATTAGCCCAGGTAACCCAGGTGTAACCTTTCTACTTTTAAGCTTGAGCAATCATGCTAGGGGGTTTTTGTGCTCTGCCAAGGGTGATGTAGTGCACTGCTATTGTCCGACTATTTGAGATCACAGTTTCAGACCAGAGCCTCACGGTTCGGGGGGGAGGGGGGGTTGCTTTCCCAGAATGGAGTCTCAAGTGCCCCAAAATGGAGCCCTACTGTCAAGGGGCTACTTCACTATGAGGGATGTAAAGAAATGTTATTAATTTTTGTTAGTTGGTCTCATATCTGACAATTATGCACATTTCCTTAGCTTTACATTTCTCAGTTGATCCCAGTGTTACACATAATTGATGGCAGCGCTCTTTTTACAATTCCCTCCCTATTTCCTTGGCCCCAGACTTACCAGCCAGAGCATTCTGCTTGTTTCCTTTCTTCAGGGCCCAGTTCAAACAGCTGCTCAGCACATGGATAGAAAAAAAAAAATTATCAGCATTAATATAATCATTTGTATGGTTAATCTCTGTTAATTAGATTTCTCAAATTCAATAAGTATATGCACAAAATCCCCAAAATTTATACAAAATAAGAATACAATCCAGTTATGTTTCTTTTTATTTTTCAGTTAGTATATTAAGTAATGACACCAAAGAATTAAAAAAGTATACAGATTATAAGAAAAACTTGAAAGGAGTTTATCATTAATAGTACACTAATACATAATTCTCCCCAAAAACTTCTAGAAAGTCTGTAATATTTACCTTAAAGACAATAAAATGTAAGTACTCAACCAAATATAACTTCCTCTAAATACAGAATTCAAATTTATTTCTTTACTTTTAAAGATTTAATTTGAAAGGGAGAGAGAGAAAAAAAAGTCTTCATTCTACTGGTTCACTCCCTGAATGCCTGCAACAGCCATGGTTGGTCCAAGTAAAAGCCAGGAGTTGGAACTCCATCCATGTCTCCCAAGTGGTGCAGGGGTCCAAGTACTTGGCCCATCATCTGCTTCTTTCCAAGGAACATTATCAGGAAGCTGGATTAGAAGCAGAGCAGCCAGGACTCAAACCAGCACTCCAATATGGGATGCTAGCGGCGCAGGCAGCAGTTTAATCTGCTGTGTCACAATGCCAGCTCCAGAATTTAAGTTTTAAAAAAGAAAAGTAAAGTAGGGATCTGAGATAATACCTTCTTAAAATAATTTCCCCATAAAAGTTTCAAATTTGGGGACCAGCACTGTGGTGCGGCAGACTAAGCCTCTACTTGTGACACGGCATATCTTATTGGAGTGCTAGTGCAAGCCCCAGGTGATCTGCTTTCAATCCAACTTCCCGCTAATGTCCCTGGGAAGGCAGCAGAAGATGGCCCAAGTACTTAGGCACCTGCCACCAACAAGGGAGACCAGGAGTTCCTGGCCCCTGGCTTTGGATCAGCCCAACCCTTGGTGTTGCAGCCATTTAGGGGGTGAACCAGTGGATGGAAAATCTCTCTGCATCTCTACCTGCATATGTCACTTTGCCTTCCAAATAAATAAGTATTTTAAAAGTTTTAAAGGTTAAACATAACTGCAAGAGAAAGTAGAGCCAATTTTATGTTAACGTGAAATGCAAATAAGTTAGTCACAATAATCATGAGCTAAAACCAGAAGCTCAGCAACTATACAAATTGGCTCTAAGGTTAAAAACCAATGGTACCTCTGATTGTAATACCTAATGGTTACTGAGGACTTGTTAGGTGGCAGATGCTATGCTAGCACTTTAGATTTAATGTGATTCTCCTATCTGTAAATTATATACGATGCCACCCCCACATATTTGACAGAGGCAAAACCCTAACATCCAAGCAGTTATTTGCTAAAGACATGTAACTAATAAGTGGACAGCTAGTTTATTTGACTACTCCAAAGGCAGCTAAGTTCAAGGAAGCAAGTGCCTCTGTTCTGAGATTAAAGACAAGGAAAACCAAGTATGTTCCAAGATATCTTCTTCAATTGTTTATCATTGCCTCCAAATTCCTGCCTTTACAGGCTTCAAGATCCTGAGAAGGAATGTGCAAATATTTGATGGAATAAGTGATTCAAAAAGAACTAAGACAGAGAATGCAGGCCCTCAACAGTAAAGGGACAAGAAACTGAGAACAAAGCACACAAAGGAAGTATCAAAACAGGAAGCATTAAATGAAAAACACAAATAACAATAAGTTATTGTGCTCATATTATTATTATTTTACCTATTATATATTTAATAATATGTATTATATTATATTATATAAACTTATCTAATAAACCAACATTTTTCAGCACCCACTATCATCTGCTTTACAGCTTAACCAGCTTTGTCTATGCTTCCCAGGCAATGTGAAAAACTATTGGGGCCGGTGCTGTGGCGCAGTTGGTTAATTCTCCACCTGTGGCATCGGTACCCCACATGGGCACCAGTTCTAGTCCGGCTGCTCCTCTTCAAATCTAGCTCTCTGCTATGGCCTGGGAAAGCAGCAGAAGATGGCCCAAGTCCTTGGGCTCCTGCACCCGTGTGGGAGACTAGAAGAAGCTCCTGGCTCCTGGCTTTGGATCAGCGCAGCTCCGGCCGCTGCCGCCATTTGAAAAGTGAACCAACAGACATAAGACCTTTCTCTCTGTCTCTCCCTCTCATTGTCTGTAACTATCTCTCAAATAAATAAATATTTTTTTAAAAAAAAAGAGAGAGAAAAGCTATCAGTAAATGTGTGTGTAACCAGGTAAGCAAGGAACTGCTCTTTCATTGTCCCTAAACAAAGACAATCTTCCACAGCACAAAACATGGGAAATTAGCATAAAAATGTGAATTATTAAGAAGTTTTTAAATACTGTTTTTACAGAGTTTTTTAATGACTTAGAGAATGTTTATTCTACAGTAGGTCCAAAAAAAAACAAAATCAAAAATTGTATGGCTATTTTGTAAAATGTGTAAAAAATATACATAGAAAAGAGTCTAGAAGGAAATACTAAGGGAAGATAATTTAAAAACACACACAGAAAACCATTCCATCTTTACATCAGGATTTCTAGGCCAGGCTACTTATTTTTCAAATGTAATTTCAGTAAAAACATGAAGGGCAACCTATCAGTTTTTAATAGAACTCAAATGCGAGCATGGTCCCTCGATCAGAACAACCTGAAGGGCTTGTTGAACCAGAGAAACCTCGCCCTTAGACATTCCATTTCAACAGAATCTGCTTTTGTATCAAGTTCCCAGGTGACGCCAGTGATGCTGGTCTGGGAACCACACATTGACAAACACTGTTCTAAATAATTACATTTATGTTTTTATGTATATGTGTGTACAGGCATGTCTCTTTCATTGGTGCTCCACCTTACTGCACTTCACAGATGCAGTTGGTTTTTTGTTTGTTTTTACAATTTGAAGGTCTGTGGGCAACCCTGCATGGAGCAAGTGTATCAGCCCCACTTTGCCAACAGCATGTGCTCACCTCATGTCTATGTGTAATTCTCATAATATTTCAGACCTTTTTACTCTTGTTTTATCTGTTATGGTGATCTGTGATCAGTGATCTTCATTGTTACTATTGTAATTGTTTAGGGGCACCATAAACTGTACAATGTAACACAGTGAACCTAAACCATATATGCATTCTGACGACTCCACCAAACATTCCCCTATCTCTCACCTCCTCCTCAGGCCAATTAATAACCCCACAACAGCCTCTAAGTTTTCAAGTAAAGAGTCCCACCTCTCACTTTAAGTGAAAAGCTAGAAATTATTAAACTTGGAGAGGAAGGCATGTCAAAAGCCGAGATGAGGCCGAAAACTAGGCTTCTTGTATCAAACATTCAGCCAAGTTGTGAATGCAAAGGAAAAATCCTTAAAGGAAATTTTAAATGCTACTCCAAACAACACACAAACAAGAAAGCCAAACGGGCAGACAGCCTAGCAGTTAAGACAGGCACATGAAAAAATGTTCAAGGTCATTAGCAATCAGGGAAATGCAAATCAAAACCACAATGAGGTTTCACCTCACCCCGGTTAGAATGGCTCACATGCAGAAATCTACCAACAACAGATGCTGGTGAGGATGTGGGGAAAAAGGGACACTAACCCACTGTTGGTGGGAATGCAAACTGGTCAAGCCACTATGGAAGTCAGTCTGGAGATTCCTCAGAAACCTGAAGATAACCCTACCATTCGACCCAGCCATCCCACTCCTTGGAATTTACCCAAAGGAATTTAAATTGGCAAACAAAAAAGCGGTCTGCACCCTAATGTTTATTGCAGCTCAATTCACAATAGCTAAGACCTGGAACCAACCTAAATGCCCATCAACGGTAGACTGGATAAAGAAATTATGGGATATGTACTCTTTAGAATACTATACCGCAGTAAGAAACAACGAAATCCAGTCATTTGCAACAAAATGGAGGAATCTGGAACACATCATGCTGAGTGAAATAAGCCAGTCCCAAAGGGACAAATACCATATGTTCTCCCTGATCGGTGACAACTGACTGAACACCAAAAAGGAAACCTGTTGAAGTGAAATGGACACTATGGGAAACAGTGACTTGATCAGCATAGCCCTGACTGTTAATGAACAACTTAATACATTATCCCTCTTAGTAGTTTTTTTGTCTGTTCTACTTAACATGACTGGTTTAATTCTGTAATTAATACACAGTTATTCTTAAGTGTTGAAATTTAACTGAAATGTGATCCCTGTTAAACATAAGAGTGGGAATAAGAGAGGGAAGAGATGTACAATTTGGGACATGCTCAAGCTGACTTGCCCCAAATGGTAGAGTTAGAAACATACCAGGGGACTCCAATTTAATCCCATCAAGGTGGCATGTACCAATGCCATCTCACCAGTCCAAGTGATCAATTTCAGTTCACAATTGATCATAATGAAAGGACTAAGAGTCAAAGGAAGCACATAAACAAGTCTAGTACCTGCTAATACTAACTGATAGAATAAATAAAGGGGAGAGTGATCCAACATGGGAAGCGAGATACTCAGCAGACTCATAGAATGGTGGATGTCCTAAACAGCACTCTGGCCTTGGAATCAGCCCTTGAGGCATTTAGATCTGGCTGAAGAGCCCATGAGAGTATTTCAGGCATGGAAAGCCAAGACACTCTGGCCAAAAAAAAAAAAAAAAAAAAAAAAAAAAACTAAATGAAAGATCTCTGTGAGTGAGATCCCAGTGGAAAGAACAGGTCTTCTAAGAAGGAGGTACCTTTCTCTGAAGGGAGGAGAGAACCTCCACTTTGAATATGACCTTGTCTAAACAAGATAAGAGTCGGTGAACTCAAAAGGCTTCCATAGCCTTGGAAACTCATGACTGGTGCATAGGGAGATTACTGATGCCATAAACAGGAGTGTCAATTTGTAAAGTCAACAACAGGAGTCACTGAGCACTTACTCCTCATGTAGGATCTCTGTCCTTAATGTGCTGTACATTG